TGGATGCATGAAGAATTCCAGATGGCTCCAAGATTATTTCTATACTAGGAATAAGGCCCATTGTGGAAAGAAATACCATGAGCTCTAGAAAGAGGCTCTGGGGGGGGGGGCGCCCTGGCCTTGGGCACTCAGTATCAATTTTCTGTGGCGACTTCAGCAAGGTATAAGGACACAGAGTTCAACATTTTCTCCAGGGGAACTGATCTCTGCCATCTGAAAAGCATTTGTAATTCTGAGTGATCTCCAGACCTCACTTGGAGATTGGTAACAATGGTTCCCCAGGAGGCACTGTACCTGTCTGAGGTCCCACTCCTCCTCAAACCTCACCCTCTCCAGGCTCCCCCCCTCAAATCTCCAGGAATTTCCCAACCTGGAGGTGGCAACCCTATCTCCTTCCCAGCCAACCATCAACCTACCTTTATCTGCCCCTCTGACTTCAGCTTTCCATCTCCCCCCCACAGCCACTAGCTGGGAAAAATACCATCTTTTTCTGCAGTGGGGACCCAAGCAGGAGGAAAGCAACCTTAGCAGGGAATAATGACATAGATTCCACCCTGCAAAGCAGCCATTTTCTCCAGGGGAGCTGATCTCTGCCATCTGAAGAGTAGCTTTAATTCTGAGTGATCTCCAGCCATTTTCTCCAGGGGAACTGATCTCTGTCTTCTGGAGATCAACTGTAACAGCAGGAGATCTCCAGGTCCCACCTGGAGGTTGGCAATCCTAGGGGAAAGAAACACACACAGCAGGAGGAGAATGGTTTGATGGCCGCTGGGCCACCTCAGTAGCTAGCCAGCCATGGAGGAGCCAATCAGGAGAATCTTCTTCGTCAGCAGAGACAGCTGTTTTGGCAGTTTATTCTGACAAGGAGGGAAGAGTGGCCAAGCCAGCAGTGGGCAGGAGAGAGGAGTGGACCCAGTCCCCAGCCAATGGCATGCAAGTACTCTTGAGTGGCAGTTGACAGGCCAATGGCTGATGAAGCACACAGCACAGCCAATGGGAGAGCTGGAAAGTGCCAATACGTTAGGGCTTTTATATATATCAGATGAATTACAACTGCTCACCATTGAGTTCTGGCTTTAAGGCTGTACCAAAAACAACCATGCAGACAAACCTAATAATTTTCAAGTCACTTTTAGTTGATCTATGAGCAAGTTTTAACAATGGACTTGACTCCAGTCAAAGTTAGTTCCTTTTAATTCCCAAGTTTTGGTTTCAAGATGTTCTTCCCACTCTGTTTATGGTTTCTGGATTTTAAATGTTATGACAACTTGTTTAGGAAGTATTTTTAATTAGTCTATTAATCACCGTCCTCTTGAAATCACTGTAAGCACTCCTGAAAACACTTCTGGATGGAAGTGCATTCATTTTTACAATGCCATTCTTTTTTCTTTAAGAATTAAGAAGATGGTTTTGTTTTATGACAAATTATTGGTATTAAATATTTAATACATATCTTCTGCACACATGTTCTCTGCTTTAGCCAAAGAAAGCACCCTACTTCATTCTTTCTGTAAAATACATTAGACTATACCTTTTCATAAAAGGGGTGAATTGCTCTCAACTAAACTACCAGTTTATTAATGCACTCTGCTTAAAAAATGAATGCAAAATGCTTCTGGGACACCAAAGCAATTCTAAATGTTTCCATGCCACTTGCAGCAGCTGTTAAGCATACATTAACACACAGATTAAAAATGTGCTACACTTCTCTGAACAGTGCAAAGATCCTTTGAATGAGAAACCTATGCCATCTTTGTAACTTTTGCTTATTTACAAATATGCTAGTGGAGCACGTGGGGAGGTGGAGGAACAGTCCTACAGGGCATTCCACTATCCCCCATCAGATTCTCCAGACATGGGGAGAGATCCTGCACTCCACAGTTTTTTAACCAATTCCCAGCAGCCTTTGTGTTATTGCCATCTCTCTCGATTTTCAAAGCTTCAGAGGGAAACACCAGTTTGGTGTAGTGATTAAGTGTGCGGACTCTAATCTGGGAGAACCGAGTTTGATTCCCCACTCCTCCACTTGCACCTGCTGATATGGCCTTGGGTCAGTCACAAGCTCTGGCACAGCTGTTCCTGAAAGAGCAGTTTGTATCAGAGTTCTATCAGCCCCACCCACCTCACAGGGTGTCTGTTGTGGGGAGGGGAAGGGAAAGGAGTTTGTAAGCCGCTCTGAGACTCCTTTGGGTAATGAAGGGTGGGGTATAAATCCAATCTCTTCTTCTTCCTTCCCCTCTGTTAGCAT